TCTAATGATGACACTCTATGCTGATCAACTCACACATTTTAATTCTATCCAGCTTCTAATGATGACACTCTATGCTGATCAACTCATACATTTTAATTCATTTCAAATGGTTTTTCCAGATCTTCACATTTCCACATATGATTTCACTATTATTCACTACCATCTTTTTCAACATTTTACTTCCTATCATGAAGCTACTCCTTGTTTTCTTCAGCTAGATAAGATTTAAGTTTTTTTTTTTCTGTTTTTTACTATTTATTTAGCTGTTTCTGCTATTTTATTAAATGTCATCATTGTTTCAAATTTGGCTTGATTCTGCTGTCTTTTTTGACAGGCATTAATCTCTTGCATGATTCTGCTGTCTTTCTGGACAGGCATTAATCTCTTGCTTGATTCTGCTGTCTTTCTGGACAGGCATTAATCTCTTGCATGATTCTGCTGTCTTTCGGGACAGGCATTAATCTCTTGCTTGATTCTGCTGTTGGCTCCAGCTGCTGTTGAACCTCCAGGCCCTGTAATGCAGAATCCTAAATGTTAAATGTTTTGACTCCCCACCTCTTCTAAACCATTTGATGTACAAACATCAAACTTGTTGCAAACCATCTTCAGACCATTCTAATGCCTCCATTGAAGGAATTTTTTCTATGTCTTTTAGGGTTTGGTCGTGCAGCTTGGTTGTATCTATTATACTATTATTTCTATGGTGTTCTCTCCTGTACTCTCACACTGTAGACTTTAGCTCATAGAGTGTTTATAGATGCGCTGCCTTTATAAAAAGTTCTCAACAGTTCTCAACTTTTAAACACTTAAATCAAGCTTCTTATTCATTCTTCAACTCTTTAGTCCTTAAACTGCTCCTTTTTTTGATACTAGATAAGATTCCGTTTTTTTTGCTATTGTTTTGTGGTTTCTGTTGGATTGATTTCAGTCTATGTTGTGAACTTATGTTACAAATTAGCAGCAAGCAGAAAAGCTTAATGCAGAAAGAGAGCAGAATAAAGCATGTTTCTGCTGTTGGCTTCAGCTGTTTTTAGGAAACAAATTAGGCATTGTTGTTTTTTACCATCTCAGCAGCTTTTGCTTTAAATTTCAGCTTGTTTCTTGCATTTTCACCTTAAAGCTTACAGTTTAACATACACAATTCACACTGCATTTTTGCAGGAAATGCAACTTTTTCTAGTTTTTATTCTGTATTTTTGTTTCTCTAACATGAAATAGTTGTAATGTGACAGGATGTCAAAGGTCAAGGTGCATGACCTTTTCCTGGCTCCTAGATGGAAGCGCTGTCTGTAGAATTAGGAGGAAGTGAATAAAGTTTAATTTGATGTTTTAGGAGGTGAAGCTGATGTTTCCTGGAGCCCAGCGCATGAACAGAGGAAACCATGAGGTTGCTGCGCTGGTGAGAGCCTGCAAAGCCAACAATGTGACAGACCTCGTCATCATCCATGAAACCAGAGGACAGCCAGGTACTCGGTGGCCCCCGGCCCCCGCTTCAGGCCCCTTCACTCCATGCTTAGCTGTTGAACAGCAGTTTTATCCTTACTGCATCATTTTGGTTCTTTCATTGGTTCTAACGATTATAACTCTTTAATTTATCAATCACTAATTCATTATTTACAAGATGGCTACCAACGCTGCAGCCTGGGGCCCCGAGACAATGTCCCACCTGGGGCCCCGAGACAATGTCCCACCTGGGGCCCCGAGACAATGTCCAAACCAACAATGGCCCAGATAAAGGAAGGTCTGCCTTTGGATATAAATCCAGATTAGGAAGGTCTGCCTTTGGATATAAATCCAGATTAGGAAGGTCTGCCTTTGGATATAAATCCA